TTGATTTTTTTTTATTAAAGTTTTTTTCTTTTCAATTTAACCCTCTAATTTTATTTTTTATGCCCTCTAATTATTTTTTATTTTGATTTTCACCCTCATTTTTTTAATTATGCTTTTTTTTATGATTGATTTGCTTTTGGTTTATGTTTGATTTATTGATAATTGAGTTTTTTGGATTTTTTTTTAATCTGTGATGCTTCCAATGTAATAACAAGAATAATGAGTTTGGAAAGTTAATGCGATTCAACAACTTATATTTTCTCATTTTTTTTATAATTTTATCATTCTATATTATATTTTGAAAAAATATTGATTTTATAATTATTTTTAATTTTTTTATTGGTTTATTTCGGTTTCATGATTTAGGTCATATGTTTTGTAAGCTTTTTTTGAATAGAGGTTTGTTTTTTCAAAAAACAAAAAAAATGTTTTGTTTGTATTTAATTCTTGAATAATTATTTTTATTTTATATATATGACTCTTATTTTATAAAAAAATATTTATTTTAAAATAATATTTTTAACATGTTTGACTTTGCATAAGGTATATTTTTTATTTTATTTAATATATTTATTTTTATTTCTATTATATCTTTTATTGATTTTATTAAACAAATTTAGTAGACATTAAAGTGAATATTTTATTTTAAGAGATTAAATATTTTAATCTACTTCTATTTATTTTTTTAGTTTTTTTTAAAGTTAATGTTAACTATTTTATTTATTTATTTACATAAACTTTTCAATATATATTTTAAAATTTTTTATACAAAAAATTATGTCAAAATAGTTTATATATTTAAATTTTGTTTTTAAAAAAATTTATAACCTGCCGCAAAACACTGGTTGTGGATCTGCAATAATAAATTCCTGTAAGGACAATTGACTTCTTGACCAACTGAAACTGCCCTGTCTCCAAATAATGGAGAGCGCTGTGAGGTCTTTAAATGATTGTCCAAATCGAGATGGCTTCGATTGAACTTAACGAGGGAGTCAATAGAGTGGAGTTAATGTACTAAACAATAAGTGAGGGCTTTTTGTGCGTTATATTTTTTTTTAATTATTTCTCTTCTGAAGTAATATCGAAATTTTTGAAAGATATTTTTGGAAAATTTAAATATATTAATTTGAAAAATAAAAAATTATTTTAATATATTATCAATTAAAATTATTTTAAAAAATGCATTCCATCCTAATACTACACACGTAATAAAACCTAAACATAACTGATATTTAAATGTTGTATATAGTTAATACCTCATGATAAAAAAAAATAAAAAAAAAACGCAAACAAATTTAGTTGAAAGAACGAATTTTAAAATATTTTTTTATCATTTCAAAACACAAATAACAGACTTAATAATTTATATATTCTCTAGCATTCCACCCACACACCTATGCATCATTGAGTGTGACGGACAAACCACCTCTACCACTAATTCTCAACTGTCAACAAAATATTATAACCTTAAAGGTATAATTGGCAGAACGGATAAATCATGCACAAAATTAAAAATATATAATTTTGTCATAGTAATTTCAGCTGAGACGAACGGCACGTAATTTGTCTGGAAAAATAATATCCAATTTCACCATCAACAACATCCCAACACGTCGTCCAACTAAATTAATCCCAGCTGTAGCTGTATCATGTAAACATCTCCTTCTTCCTCTTGTAGACTGGAACTTACCCATATGTGTGTGTCTCAATCTCTTTCTCTCTCACTGAAAGATCATATATTAAGGTTCAAGTTAGCTAAAGCTTCTTTGCATTTGGCTGCAGTCTGTATCTGTGTGTAGAAAGAAATATGTGTGTGTCTCGATCTCATTCTCTCTCACTGAAAGGTCATATATTAAGGTTCAGGTTAGCTAAAGCTTCTTTGCATTCGGCTGCAGTCTGTATCTGTGTGTAGAAAGATCATCTCTTCCAGAATCTTGCAATATTATTGAAGTGAAGGAATGAAGGGAAGAGAGTGAGAATCAACATTTTCTTGATTTCGCTTGATAAATTAATGAATATATCTTCAGTTTTCCTCTCGACTCTATTTAAACCAACTTGCATGCACATTAAGCAAAAAAATAATTAAAAAAAACAATGATTTTCGTTGTTTTCAATGGAGGAGTTCATAATAAAACAAGTGTATTTATGTTCGCTGAAATTCATTAAATACATAGTTAGAAACTATTTTTCGATGACAAAGACCATCTTTGAATCACCTAATGTGTAAACCAAGATCAAACCATTTTCTTGAGTGCTTTTGAGAGTGCAATCTATACATCGATTTATTTAGTCCCTTTAGAAAAGAAAAAAAAACATTTTTTTCTTAAATATTAACTTTAAATTTTGTTTTTTTTTTTAAAAATAAAACATACTTTCTTCATCACCAAATCAATCATTTAAAACTCTGTAGCTAAAAAGTTAAGATGCATTGCTTTTGTCGAGTATGGTTGATACGCTCGAAGGAGAATGTTGTTTCAGAGACAAGCGTTAACACTATTCAGAGAGAATCAACATTTTCTTGATTTCGCTTGATAAATTAATGAATGTATCTTCAGTTTTCCTCTCGACTCTGTTTAAACCAACTTGCATGCACATTAAGCAAAAAAAAAAAAAAAAAAGCAATGATTTTTGTTGTTTTCAATGGAGGAGTTCATAATAAAACAAGTGTATTTATGTTCGCTGAAATTCATTAAATACATAGTTAGAAACTATTTTTCGATGACAAAGACCATCTTTGAATCACCTAATGTGTAAACCAAGATCAAACCATTTTCTTGAGTGCTTTTGAGAGTGCAATCTATACATCGATTTAGTTACTCCTTTAGAAAAGGAAAAATAAACATTTTTTTAAATATTAAATTAATTTTTTTTTTAAATAAAACATACTTTCTTCATAACCAAATCAATCATTAGCTAAAAAGTTAAGATGCATTGCTTTTGCCTCACTAGGAAGAAAGATATCTAGCCAATTAATATAGTGTGATCCATTGAAATTGATAGCATAATATTCAAAGTTTGTTTTTAATTAGCATAATATTTTGTGATCAACATAATCATCAAAGTAAGTTTTTTTCTCTAATCTCTAATAATATAGACTCTCTCCCGTAGATATAGGCGATTTGCCGAACCACGTAAATATTGTGTTAGTGTGCTTGGCCTCTTATGAGCAAAAAAATATCAGTACATCACTGATCGGATTTCCCAACACATTCTTCCTAGAATATATTTTCACGATGCACCTAATTTGGTTAAGCAGCCCTTGATTCCTAGAATATATCTTCACGGTGCACCTAATTTGGTTAAGCAGCCCTTGATTATGGCTCATAGACAATATCATGCAGCAATCGCAACCACAAAAATACTGTTTTTTTCCCCTTTCAGGAGCTAGCTTCCATATTCGCAGGATTTGTCTTTAAGATAGCTCTGTTTTATTTTCTTTCATAAAAGTAAATAGTAGCTAGGGATGTGATCCTGGTTCCTTTTAGCAAACTAAAGATATATAATATGCCTTTAAGCCTTCATATTATATAAAATAGAGCTGCATATAAAATTACAATTAGTATGCAAAGCTAATTATAATTCGATTACGAAATCAATTAACAAAAAAATTAAAACAAAATTGAAGATCTATTTGTGCTAACTGGGAAACTCTAGTAATTCAGGAGCATAGAATAGTAGATATTCTTGGAGTATTAAAGTTTTTCCCTATACAAAAATGGCATCAAATTATTCCAATAAAATAAATCCCAAAGTGAGGGAAAAAAACACACAGCAAATGTGAAAGAACTTGTCATTCGTTTTCTAACCATTGAATCATTCACAATCTATTGCTAGACATAGTAATGAAATTCTGCTAGCTTGGATCACATCACGGGTTTTTAAATCAACTTAAATTAATCAGAGTCAATCAAAACAATCCCATTAATTAATTTTTAAAATTAAAATAATGCTGTTTTTTTTTTAAAATAAATTTTTTAATGAGATCAAATCATTTAAAATCCCATTTAATTCAAGTCTCTAGTTAACCTCTCTCACCGACCCGAGCCGGGGATTAATAATTGTTCCGTCCTATTCAATTAATTAGCTGTAAGAAAATCTGAAGCGGCAATGTTCTTGTTACAATATATTAACATCGCTAAAAGATATATAGATAGCAGTAAAAATGAAAAAAGAAAACAAAATAACCTTAATTCTGGGGGAAATAGTTCTCGATGATTCTGGCTAGGTATGGTAAGTTAGTTAATCAATCGCGGGAAATCTGATACAAAGGTTGGCAGCCACCGTCTTCTTTTCTCTACAAATATATATTTGTATTTGCATAATATTTATATGGAGTGAGCAGAGCTCTCTCTTTCTCTGTAAGCCCTCACCAGTCACCATCTCCATTTCTTTTCTTCTTCTTTTTCTTTCTTGTAAGTCTCTTTATCTCGCTCTCGCACAGAACTAGACAAAGTGAAAGGATCGAAGGCAAAGTAATCTTTACTGGGCAATTAAATCTCGCATTTTAATATGTGTCAGTGGTAATACTCCACTTTTTTTTAATTAAGTGTCTTCTTTTTTGGTAGGCCTGCATTAAATTATCTCTAACTATATGCTCATGCATTACTAAATAACCGATCGATGCTCGAAACATCTATAGAGGAGAGCCATAATTATATATATAGTTGAATTATAACTTTTTAGCTAGTAGTGGAGGTGCACCTGCAGGCCGGCTGCTGAGGGACAAACAGATCCTTTCCTCTCTCTTTCTCTTGTATTATCATGCTCCGGTGATGATCCACAGATACTATAATATTTACTTACATATGGTGTTGCAACAATATATTTTATAATAATGTTTAAATAATATAGATTGATATAATCAATGTGAGCGAGAGGCAGTGGTAGTGCCTGAAAAGAAGTGGACTGTTGTTTCTTCTTGTTCTTGTTCTTGTTCTTGTTATATGTATATATATTTAATTAGTTCAAACAGATTAACGTGCAGGAGAAGATAAAAAGGAATGGAAGTAGCATCAGGAATACCCACAAGCTGCAGCAGCAGTGGGGCTGGAGCTGGAGAAGTGAGACGTATTCATATCATTTACTTTCTCAGCCATAACTTGGGCCGTATTGATCAGCATCCTCATCTCATTCGTGTCCATCATTCCAATCGAAAAGGTGTTTATCTAAGAGGTAATTAATTTCTTCATTAATCCTTCTCCTATGCCCTAACTGTATATATATTATCACACTGATTAATATTAGTTTCTTAATTAATTTACATGTTTAGTGCTGTGTGCAATAACATTGCAAGGTTTTGATTGATTGTTATATATGTTGACAATCATAAATTTTGAAAATTAATATTTAAGATAGATGTCAAGAGGTGGCTTGCGGACTTGCGAGGAAAAGACTTGCCAAAAGCCTTTGCTTGGTCCTATAAGAGGTTTGATTTTGTGTTGTTTTAATTTGGTCCGCAATTTATATATGCTAATTTAATTAATGGTGATTTCATTAACCTCTTTTTTTTTTTAAAAAAAATGATAATAAACAGGAGATACAAGAAAGGTTATGTTTGGCAAGATTTACTTGATGATGATCTTATTACCCCAATCTCTGACAATGAATATGTCCTCAAAGGATCTAAAATTTTAGTCCCTCCTGCTAATCCCGTTGGTACGTTAAATATTCCTCTTAATCACTGATGCTACCATATATATACACATACACAGTTCTTGATTTTCATTTGATTTAATTTGAAAATATTATTATGATTTCAGTAATTAATGTCAGCTTTTTTTGGTGCTTGAAAATGATACAGTTGGTAGTGCAGATGGTGAAAAGCAAGAGAATACTGGAGTTGAATTAGTTGAAAACAAAGCACAGAATCATGAGCAACGCCCTTCACCAAACCAAATTTGTAAAGACACTACCTCAAGAAATACATCATCAACTGAGATACCTAAAGAATCACCTACATTCAGCTCAGAGATTTCAACATTGACCGACGATTCCATCGAAGAAGAAGAAGAAGAAAAGGAAGAGGATGCATGCAAACGCAACGACTCTCGTGACCAAGAACAGATAGACAATAAGGTGGAACATTCATCTTTTTACACCATTTTTCTGGGCAAGAGCAAGAAAAACCAAGACGATAGGAAAGACAACACCAGCAGCATCGAAAAGATGGGCACCCCAAGTTCATTCCCCTCTCCATCATCATCACAATCTACATCTACAAAGAGTAAGAGCTACTCAACTGGAACATCCAAGGTGCTACGTAATTTGATTACATGTGGTGCTGTTGATACAAATGATGCCGCATTGGTTCTCCAAAGCCAAAAAAACAAAAATAAATACAAGCCAATCGACAAGCCGGCTGGTCATATTTGTAAAGGTGAAGAACTTGGAGGGTCTGCCAGAGTTTTTGGTACTCCTTGGAATCAAGTCCAACAACAACGGCAGCACAGTACTGCTAATGCTAGGTATATACACCAAAAAACTACTTAAAAAAAACTACTTAAAAATTAGTTCTAGTACTCTATCAAAACTTGCCAGTGTCATGAATGTACAAATGGGCCATTAATATTAAGAATGCGGATTGGTCGTACTGTATTGTATTAGCAGGAAAAGCTTTGACGGGGCGAGAAGTTCAAAGAAGCAGCATAATGGATTTGGCAGTCCAAAAGTGGTTTCTTCCGTATACAAGCCAGTGGCTGTACCCACCTGCTCGTAAGCCAAGAAACCCATTTCCTTTCTAATTTAAGATTTGACCATTCCGGAAATTCATAATTAATGTTGTATTGTAAGAAATTAGTAAAACCTAATGATGGGTGATGCCTTGGACAAATAGACTTGTATGAAAAAGTCATGGTTGTTTAATAGTTGACCTACTCTTACGTTGTGTGGTGATGGAGAAATGAGATCAGAAGCGGCAAACGCTTTGGGATGCTTATACGGTTATTGCTAGCTCCTTTTTGCCTGGCACTAAAGAAGAAAGAGGAGACAAGAGTCTCTTTCTTTAGATTATGACAATATATTGTCCATCTGACCGGTTAAGTATCTAGTTCCTAGTCAAAAGAAAAGCAATCTCTCAGTCAAACATTATTTTCTGCTCGTTATAGATTTTCTGTTTGTGATCTGATCTTCTTGCCTTCTCCTTGCGCTAGCAGATTGACTAGTTTTTGTAAGCCACAAAGTTCATATATGAATTACAATCTGAATCAATATATGTACCCTTCCTTTTCTGGGGTCCTCTCTCTCTCTCTCTCTCTCTCTGTTATTTCTATGCTATTCTTCTTGTTGATGAGACATAAATAGTTGCTTCATCTCCGGCCATAGATTATATATTGGAGTGTCTGTTCTGATCCAAAGCCCATTATTATAGTACTTAATATCCTCTAAGTTTCTGTTATTAGCAACTAAAATCTACGTTGCAAAAACGCAGGCAGTGTGGGAAGTCATTCAGGCCAGAGAAATTGCACTCGCACATGAAGTCCTGCAGGGGATTGAAGGTCCTGGCAAAAGCTGCTTCGACTTATGTTGAGAAAACACCATCACCTTCACATAACCCAGTTGATTCAGCATCTATGGATGGCTATTTCTTGACCAACTGAATGTTCAGTGATAGATTTTCCGTAGTTTATTCTGTCCAAAGCGTCAACTTCTTTACAACTTCCACTGTTATTTGTGTAAAGGGGATATAGGAGGAACATGTGGAATGGCATTTAAGAAATGGAGAGATTATTATATATTTCTTTTGAAAATTAATCAATTCAACAAGATTATTTGTCAAATGCTTCTTGGGGCAGCATCACTACATCCATAAACATTGCTTACACTATGCATATGTTTAAAGTTGAACTCTGAAGTTCCAGCATAATTCATAAAAACTTGACTGAATAGATGCAAATTGTTCAAGCAATCCATTGTATATAAAAGGAACACAGCTTGCTATATCTCTGGCTGTCAGCTTTCCTAATCATAGGTTAACTGTGGTTTACCAGTGAAGAAAATGGAACATCTGAATGTTATATATGATATGCATCCCAGAAATCCATATAATTTCTTCTTCGAGCCTTCTATTCATGCATCAACCTTAACCACACCGCCAAATAAGGCATCCTTTTAAGCATCCCAAGAAGACCTGCAATCTCAGAAGGTTTCCCTCAGCATAACCCAAAATCCACGTTCAACGAATGCTCCGTACACCTCAAGAACCATTCACGAGAACCTAAGAGCAGTATTTCTGATAAAGTTGCCGTCTCGTTTAATTCCCTTCCCATGGGACAATCCCTACTTCTAGGATTCACTTTCTTTACAGAGGTGAGGCATCGTTTTGAAGGGGATGAAACCTGCCCAGTACTTGAATCTGTATGAACTTGTTTTGGTTTCCGGGGCTTGGTTTTTTTAAGGTGATTGATTCGCGGAATTTAGTTCTTCCATGGAATTATCTAGGATGACTTAATGACGTTTATCACTGTCAAACCTACACTCTTCCCGGGCTTCTTGAACAAACTGAATATAGAAGGATTAGTCCGTATAGCAGAATGAACCCAAGATGCTACATTAGTATTTGTTTAACTTTTACATACATGAGGCTATACACATCACAGGCTATCATAAATGCTTGATTTTGCTTCAAGAAGGCTTGCGTCACTGAGTGAAGAATGGTATTTCCGACTCTTTTTTTTTTTTTTAGATTAACATGAGTGTCCGGGCCAGCTTGCGCGCACCACGACTAATCCCACGGGCCCTGAAGTTAACGACCATGTAAGTCTCTAGGGGTCATCATATTAGCAACCAAGGACTCGAACCTGAGACCACAAAGGGAGCAAATCCCTTGGCCCCAAGTTCTTACCATTTGACCACCACCTAGATGGTTGGTATTTCCGACTCTGCATGTACTGGTAGAGGTCTGAATATTGCTCCGTTAACAGTACTGAAGATGCTATTAGATTAAATTTTTCCATGAGGTGCATCATTAAAAATAGCTAGCTAATTTATGACTTCCCTAAGCTAAATTTTCTTTGAAACATACTGGATCTCTACATAAATCGACAAATTGAAGATTGATATACATCTCCACTAGCCAGCTGTACGGAGATTCCATACATTAAGATTATCCTTAAAAAAATAAAAATAAAAACAATAAAACAAAACAAAATAATTTTTTAATCACCAACACATAAGATAACCTATGTCGTGAGTTAAACTTAGCATTCAAATTTCACAACTCATCATTGTTGTGTGTAGTCTCGCACCATATGGTGGGACCACCACATTAATTGAGAGAAGAGACAGCTAACCCTTTTTAAATTAAATGGTTCGGGTACTGTAACCACAGTAGCAAAAATTTAAACAAGAGAGGAGAAGAAAACTGGGAGAAAGAAAGAAGAAAATGCAGCAGAGCAGCCTATGTTATTCCTTCGATTTCTAACTCATTCACCGTTGGATCGGGTTGAGATTTTGACAGCAGTTTCTAGACACATTACTCTTCATTTTGAGCGGTTCGATCGAAGATTGGTAGTGTGGAAGCTGGTCATTTTAACACAAAACAGGGTTGTCAGTATCTGTGAGTTTTTCTCAAATAATTCTCCTTTAATCTTCTTGTATTCCAAGAATAAGTTGTTCTTGATGATATATATGTTGTATCCCTTAGTTGAATCTGAGAAAGAATATTTGTAAACCCATTATTTATTGATAGTGAAAGTTTTTAGGTGGACTACGGTCCCGTGGTTTTTCCCACATCGGGTTTTCCACGTTAAAATCTTGGTGTTGATTTGTGTGATTATTTGCATTATATTTGGTTATTGTTTGATTATGCTTTTACTGCACAAAGAGGGAAAAGGATTGGGACTTGTGAATTGTATTCCGCTGAATTAATTTGGATAAATTAGTGTCTGGTTGTTTCTAGTTTTCCCAACAAAGTGGTATCAGAGCACTAGTTGTGTAGATTGAATTTCTTATGTAATTAAAATGAAAAAGAAAGATTCAGGCATGATAAAGCTCATTTCCTCTAATTATTTTCTTTGGAAAACAATGATAAAGGATCACTTATATTGTAGTGATTTGGCTTTGCCGATTGAATGTAAAGGAATAAAGCCTGATGAAATGGATGATGCAAACTGGAATGAGCTTAATAGAAAGGATACTGCTAATGTTAGAAAATGAGTATCTTCTAAGTCCATTAATCATATTTTTCAATACCATGCCTGCTATACTGTTTGGAAGATGTTGGAAGAAGCATTTGTTAAGGAGAGTGCACAAAACAAGGTTTTTGTAATTAGAGACCTTGTGAATTTGAAGTATAGAGATGGTGAAGATGATTCAGTGCGTATAAATGTATTCCAAGGGTTCTTGAATCAACAGTCATTGATGAATCTTGAATTTGCTGATAAAATACAAGCACTAATCCTATTGAGTTCATTGTCGGATAGTTGGGAGACTTTGGTGGTGTCACTTAGCAATTCTACTCCGAATGGAAAGATCACTTTGAAAACAGTGAAGGATTGTATCCTCAATAAAGAGAAGAGAAGGAAATGGACAACCACTTCTGAGTCTCATACATTTATTATAGAAAGTCAAGGGAGAAGTCCAAGCAAGTTTTATCACAGCAAGCAAGATAGAGAATCTAGCAATAGAAAAGGTAAATGGAAGCCAAGAGGAAGATCTCAATCAAGGAAGGGTTTTAAGTGCTATTATTGTGACAAGCCTGGGCATATGCAAAAGGATTGCAGAAAGTATAAAAGAGATAAAAAGGGTAAAGATGAAGACAAGAATGAAGAGAATGGTACAGCTGCAGTTGTATATGATGGTGATGTTGCCATTGTTTGTGATGATGGTTGTGTTAATCTTGCATGTCAGGATACCACCTGGGTTGCAGATTCAGCAGCTTCTTACCATATTACACCCCAACATGATTTTTACACATCCTACACTATTGATGACTTTAGTCAAGTTAGGATGAAAAATCAAAGGATGGCTAGTGTTGTGGGCATTGGAGACATTTGGTTGGAAACCAATACTAGGTGCAAGTTGCTACTCAAAGATGTTAGGCATGTGCCTCATATACGTATACACTTGATCTGTACAAGTACTCTTGATGAAGAAGGCTATCATAATTTCTTTAGAGATGGTAAATGGAAGCTCTCCAGAAATTTCTTAATTGTTGCTAAAGGGAAGAGGATGAGTCTCTACATGTCACAAACTAAGGTGATCAAAGGGAAGGTGAATGTAATTGAAGATTGCTCTACTAATCTATGGCATAAACGACTTGGACATTTGAGTGAGAAAGGTCTTGGCATCCTTGCCAAGAAGAACTACCTTCCATTAAAAGGTATGAACTTGAACACATGTACTCATTGTTTAGTTGGCAAACAACACAGAGTTGCATTTCAAAGATCACCTTCACATAAAAGATTACATGTACTTGATTTAGTTCATACTGATGTTTGCTCTATGATTGACAAGTCTCTTGGGGGTGCATTGTACTTTGTTAGTTTTATTGATGATCACTCCAGGAAAATTTGGGCCACTTGTTTATAAGCTGGAAACCAGCAGAACAATACAAGCAAGCAATATAAGCTGGAAACCAGCAAAACAATACAAGCAACAATAAAGGAAACATTCGCCTTGAACAAGAAAATAGGATCCCTAAACAAGAGGAACAGAACAAAAGCATGAACAGCCCTCATGCAAAGCAAAACCAAGAGCAAGGCAAGCTTGCTATACAAGCTGGAAACCAGCAGAAAATTACAACAAAGGGAACATAATCCCCGAAAATAAGCATGAACAACCCTCATGCAAAGCAAAAAACCCAAAAGATTAGGGGAACAGGCTCCTACTAAGCTAAATAGAAAGACAAACCCAAGCCAACAAAGAGGCATCCAGTCGTAGCATGAAGAGCACCAATCAAGCCAGGAAAGGACGACCACCTTCCAAGACTTAATGAAACAGCAACAGAGCAAACAAACCCGAACAGCGGCCACTAAGCAAACAAACTGCACGGAAACAGAGGCTACAGGCCAGCATAAAGAAGCTGGCAAAAACAAACAGGGAAACCTAAAAAGCAAAAAGCCACACCAACCATAAAACAGGCCTATAAGGCTACAATCAAGAGAAAACAGAATAACCCATAAAAGACACAAGGATATAGTCCTTGGCCTAAATCAACAAGAGCATAAATTCATAGGGAGGAAGAGGAAGGGGAGCTGTCCTGAGTCCTGGAGTCAGCCGAGGAGGAGGTTGAAGGCCTGCATCTTAGTTCTAATGGCACCCATGAGCGATTGATGGCAGAAGCAGCTTTACTTCTGGTCAAGTATTGTCTCCTGGGAGGGGATTCTGCGGAAGAATCTTCAGAGACACGAACAACCTGGGGGGAGCCAGAAGAAACTTCAGGGGATCCTGGATGCGGAGCCAACTTTCCCTGCTTGTGCCCAGAGCAGCCTGGTCCCTTGTCCCTAGCTACAACTGCCTCAACTGCCATTGGATCAATCAATGGTTCACCATGAGGTTCTTCTCGAGGAGACTGTTTTTCAACAGCTTCGATATCAGTAGAGGGATTAGAGCATCCAGAGGGAACGATAGGTGCTGAGGGATGCTTTTTCTGTTTATACCTGAAAGCTGAGTTGCATGTTGAAGTGAAGTGTCTCAATACTTTGCATTGTTTGCAAAATCTGGGTAGGGATTCATAGATCACTTCCTGGGCTTTGGAAACACCATTCAGGAGAGTGATATCAATCAAAGATGG